TTACAAGGAGAAGCATTTTTGCAATTTCCAGAATGCTATGCAAATGTAAGACACCATTAGTTTAAGCTTCTACTTCTAAAACTTCGTATGTACTGTGTGTAATAAAAATACATATTTATTGTGGATAGGGTTGAATTAAAGGTGTGCCATGCAGAAAGTAATTTGAAGATGATATTTTAACATGAATTTATTCTCAACTATGCCAAAATAAAATCCACAGTTTTTCTACATTTGGATTTATTCTTTATTCTTTGCTGGTTTCCACATTATTTTACTCTATTTCATTCCTTCTCATAGTAGGGACAGAGCTGGAATCCTTGGCAAATTGTGCAGCCCTCTTTTGGTGACTTTCCTGGAAGAAGTTATAGTGAACTCATCTCTTCCAAACTCACTGTTATTATGGGGCATAAAATTCCTAACGTGGAAGAGTAAAAGCTAATGTGTTCTCTGCCACTCTCCACACGACCTGGCAATCATCAAATCCTCTTGATTGTGTCTCTTAAATCCTTCTCAAATCAAACATCTGACACAAAATTTAATAGTCTTGCCCATGAATCACTGAAGTATCCACCTACTGGACTCTAGTTACATGCCCTCCTGCCTACACAGTCCACCTCCCACTCAGTACCCTGGGGTAGTCTTTTCAAAGTGTAAATCTTTACTGTCTGCTTTCTACTTAAATCTTGGATGGTTCCCATTCTTGTTTCCGTAGGAGAGCCTTGGATTATCTGCACATGACAAGTGAGACTTCTAGACTTCTAGACTTCACCTCTGCAGATCTTCCATCATGGTTTCCAGCATTGCTGAAAGGCTCCTATTTCCCTTTTCAAAGTTCTATGACTTTTACCTGATTCCATCTAACTGTATGTGCCCTTCCTCCACTCTTCTTATCTGAAAAATCACTATTCACCCTTCCAACCGTCACCCTTTCTTTTATGCCTCTGTCTATTACTCCATCTAGCAGTACTTGCTTTTATTGTCGTGCATATTACACCAAATTATAAATATTCATTAGGGAAGTTTGTTTCCTCTCCTACGGAAAGTTTCATGGCTTCACCTCTTCCTCTACTGAAGGCTCTTCTCTCTTTCTAAGGCAATGAGAGTGTGATCAAGAATTGTCTCCACTACACTGATCAGGGTTAAACTGGAAACAGGTGCCCTGCCTGTTTGATTCTTGAGCTCGTTTTATTTAGAGTCCTCCAATCAAATCAGTTTAAACTGTAAGATAGGATGCCCATCCTTTCTTTATTATGATGAATATGATTACAAGTAACAAGGGAGTATTGTCAATTTTATCTAACAGTGCCACTTCTTAGGAACATCTGGGGTAAAATGACCAGTGTATTATTTTTCCTCTTACATTTATAATTATATTCTATGCCTTCTATTATTTCGCACCACTTGAGTTCTTGCTTCTTTTCCTCTTAAAGTACACATTTCACTTAGAAAAGAGAATTGATATCTATTGTGTAACTAATGATGGCTCCTTTATGAGTTAATTAACAAAAAATGATGATGAATAGACCAAAACTCAGCATCCATATAATTTGCATTTTTTCAACTTCTACTTCATGAGACATGATTTTTCTTTAAAATGTATAATCCTACATTATAATAAATATAAACTTGGTTCTCTCACCTCAAATAGTGATTCTCTGAAGCTAATACAATATGAATCAATATAAATTCCACTTTTCCGTGAGTGAATTCTGGAAATATAATAGAAAGCTATTTCATGAAAAGAACTTAGCTAGTTTTTCTGATGTTCCACTCTCCTCTTCACCCCACCAATTCCTTTACTCAGTGAATATTCACTGCCATCTCAGTCATTGATTGGATTATGCTAGACACTGTGAAGCGTTTAAAATTAGTGAGGTTACTGACCTCAACACCTCTACAGAACACCCATAAAATCAACTGGGAAGGGCTGGGGATATAGCGTGGTGCCACAGCACCTGCCTGGAAAGCACAAAGTTGTGAATTCAGTTCCCAGTACCAAAAACAAAACAAACAAAAAAAACTGGAAATAGAGATGTCAGCAAGATAAATCAGAGGTCCAGGCAATGAGTCCTCAAGCTCAGGAGCCAGCCTTTACCTCCTGACTCTCCCCATCAGAGTCTGCAATCTGCCATCCTTTGTAACTTATTTTTAACTGTTGGGATTTTTTTGGAAAGGTACCTTGATTTTATTTTTTATTGATATTTCTATGTACTTCAGTATATAATAATTATATTCATCTTGGGGACTTGGTACATGCACATACTGAATCTTAATTTTATTTCTCCTTTGCCTCCTGGCCCTCCTCTTTTCCCATTCCCAAATTCCCTTTGCATCTCCACAAAGTTTACATTGCTATTTCCTGTCATTTCTCTTTTGCTATTTAAATTATTTATAGCAGATGTTTCTCATGTAAGAGAAACCATGTGCTATTTAACCTTGTGTGTCTGATTTACTTCACTTAACATGATTATCTCAAGATATATTCATTTTCTTACAAATGACTCAAATTTATCCTTTTTTGGCTGAATATTATTCTATTGTGTATATTATACCACATTTTCTTTATTCATTTATTGATAGACATATTGGCCATTTCTAAGATTTAACTATTGTGAAATGTGTTGCTGTAAACATAGGTATATACATATTCCTATAATGTGATGTCTTTAACTCAGAAGATATCCAGAAGAGGTATAGTTGAGTGAAATGGGATTTTTATGTTTTAGTTTTTCAAGGAATCTCCATACTGATTTCCTTGGTACTGTACTAGTTCACATTCCCTGCGATAATGTAGAAAAATTCCTTTTTCCCACAACCTTACCAGTATTTATTGTTTCTTGAACTATTAATAATAGTAATTCTTTCTGGGGAGAGATGGAATCTTACTGTTGTTTTGATTTTCATTTATCCAATGACTAAAGCATTTTTTCGTGCATCTATTGGTCATGCAAACTTCTTTTGAGAAGTTATCTGTTCATTTCATTTGCTTATTTTTATTGAATCTTTGGGACATTTGGGAATGTCCGAATAGCTGTTTTCATCTCATTTCAGCATATACATAGACCAAGAACACATCACTGCCTCTATCTCCTGTCTTATATCCTCCACTCTACTTCTGAGCCCTTGAAATAAAAAACACAAGCTATTTCCAGACTCTTTTGTGCATATCAGGTGATTATCTGGCTTCTTCTGGAATGAAATAGGATAAGACAAATCAGGACAGACGCATTGTTCTCTACATCTCTTAGATGTTGACTATGCCCACACATTTAACATTGCATAAAGAAGTATTTGATCATATTCAGCAGTGAATTGTTATCAAATTGAGGAAACCTCCTTAATAACTTCTTTCCAATTGCTGCTGAGACAAGACTTTGGTTATATCATCAAACCCACTGTGAGTATGCGCACACTCTTCCGTTGGGTCTATAAACCAAGGCTGTTCAAGATTTTCTTTCCCTTCTTGCCAGTGGCAAAATATCCTTCACTTATAAGAAACAAGTGAGGCTTTCTAATTTGGCCAATATCATTTTAACTACTAGTTATTTTCCCCTCGAGTGAGTCAACTTACAAACATTCCATTACCTTTTGAACAGACTTCTGCTAGTCATTCTGTTAAATTTGTCCCCAGAGAATTAACCTCTCTCATGGTCGCATCTTTCTTTCCACCTCTGTGGCTATAATTAAGTTTTGTTTTCTCTGCTTCCATGATCTCCAGCCTCTTCTCTTACAGCGTAAAGCCTTAAGGACAGGAATTCTGACTTGATACTCACGTTACACACCCAGAGCTTGGTGTGTTTCCTGGAGTATAGAAGGCACTAAATAGAGAATTAGGGAGTGAACTCTATACAGACAAAGACCTTGTGTCTAAGGAGGTTCAGAAGAAAGCTACCAAACCCAGGTACTCATAGGGCTGGGGAAGATTCCAGAGGAAGATACAGCTGTTCTAAGACATGAGGGTAACTATAAGTTAGCTAGACATGGACAAAGATATGGATAAAGACCTATACTTCAAAAATAGCAATGCCAATTTGAAAATAAGCATAAAGATCCTTATAGTAACGCTTTCTGTCAATTATGCCTAAGAATCAAATAGAAGCCACAGTGTTATACCAATGTGTGCTTACGTATATGCATGTGTGTGAGGCAGAACTTTAGTTTCTAAAAGTTTAATTAGCTATAATAAAAATCTAGTCCAGCAACCCATAAAACCCTTGCTATTTGTAGCCCAAAGCTTTTTACATGACTAAACATTTTCATTAACCTTCTCATTATTTTATTTGTCCTCAAGCTAAATTTTAATTTTTTGTATTTTCTATTCTATTTTAACTTTTGGCATTTTAATGGTATTCTTAAATAGCTCCGCAGATAATGGTATGGTTAAGGAGAGAGATGGGAACCCAGCCGTCTCGCATGGAATTATTTTGTGCAGGAAAGCTGAAGAAAGTGTCAGAAAACACTCAAGTTAGAAATGAACATTGAAAATTCAACCATTTGTACAGTGAGGTTCTGAGTACAGAAGGGACAGCTGGCAGAAGGCTGAGGTAAAAGCATAATGGTCCTAGAGCCCAGAGGTCCGTGCCCATCAGTCACCAAGTCCACGGCTCTCTCTCCTGTATTGTCTGTAGGATGGAATCCATAAAATTTGCTCTACAACCTTTATAATTATTCTGAAATTGAGAGACTATCTAGGAAATGAATCACCAAACAGATGGTAAATGTTCGTACTTATACATCAAGTCACTTATTACAGTAACTTTTGTTAGAAAATAAAAATTTTATACCCCTTTCAACAATTATTCCAGAATTACATATGAAAAATACGTATGGCAATTTAGATTTGTGAAAATAAAGCTGTATTTTTTAAGTATACAGTTGTAAAATAGCTTTTATCTATATCTGTAGTGCAAATGCAACAAATACATTTACTAACAAAAAGTAAAACAAATGGCTGTTTGCCTCATGAGCATAATATACGTTGTCACAATTTTGTCTCATAGAATGATTGAAGATAGTGGGAAAAGAGGAAATACCATGGCAGAAAGAAGACAGCTGTTTGCAGAGATGAGTGAGTATGGAACTTTTAAGGACCTCCCTACAGTTTTCATTAAATATTCATAAAGAAGCTAGAAATAACCACTTAATACTTATAACATTTGTACTTCCCTTAAGATTCAAAATTCTTCACATACAGCATGCATTTAGCATTTTGGCATCCTACTAGGCAAAAGTTAGACAGTGAGCCAACATAATTTATGACTAGACTATAGATTTTTATATCAAAACGTTTATGGACTTGAATATTCATACATGTGCACGATAAACATTGTTTAGTATTGACAATGATACAGTCACTAAACCTTGAAGTCTGTGTTCATTCTCTGCATCGTCACAGTGGTGGCATATTGTAGACATTAGACAAAATTTGTGAAATGAATCATTTACTATCTTCCCTGCAAAAATGGTGTCATACATTAGTGATAAAAAGCAGTTGATGCAAAAACACAACTAAACTATCAGCTGTCATTTGGGCATCTTGCAGAGAATGAGATGCTTTCCTACAAATCATTTGTTTTTTAATTGCAATAGAAAACAAAGGACAAAAGAAGCTTGGAGGTGACTTGATCATCAAAAGAAACCAAACAAAGATTATATTTACTGAGCCCAGTGAAAATTATTTGCTTATGTAAAATCACAGTTGCTGTGTAAGTATTGGCTGATAGTGTCTCCCTAGTGAAATACTTCTTTATTCTTAAAGAATTAGACACTTGGGAAAAAACACATATAAAATTAAATATTATAAGAAAAAATATGATCCCTTTATTTTTGTTTATTATTTTTAATCTCTCCTTCCTACATAAGAAATGGGCATGAGCAGGAAAGTGTTGTAAGCCTCTTTCTCCAAGATGGCTGTAGAAAAAAATTCATTTCTACTGAATATTGGAAGCTTTTGGCAGGAATGAGAATCAGAGCAGATAAAGAAAATTGCTAGATAATAACATCCATGTTTTCTTTTATCATCTCCCAATAATCTGGCAGCACCAAGACAGTGTTAGAACTAACAAAAAGGAAAGAAAATTAAAATTTATGTTGGGAATCTCAATCATGCTTCTTGTTTTTTCCACTTCAAGATGATCTAAAGTGTGGCCGTTTTGGCCAGGACCTTCTAATATTTTAGAGTACATTTAGTACCCTATTCTTTACTTCTGGTATGACATCATCTCACTTGGCACCTTTTTATAGACACAAATCTAAGAGCAAGAGGTCTAATTACTGCTAGCCAAAGCCTCCGACTCAGAGTAGGTTTTAGTGATCTATTATAGTACATAAGGATGAAGATTAATGATAATACAGTTCACCTTCAGCATTACTCAGACACTGGAGGAGACAAAACCAAAGAAATGATGGGCCAAATAATAGAATCAACAGGATAATTATGAGTATAGCTAACAAAGATTTCCACCAAGAGGAACCAGTCATGGTTTCCCACAAGGAGGATAAGGATAATGTCCAGGGAAGTTTAGAGTCTGACATGTCATTGATTTGTCATCTAGTATCTTGAGCAGCTGCTGAGATGTTAACAAAGGATAAGAAATGTACATACAACATTCATTTCAGTTTTTGCAACGGCATAAGGACCTTCGTGCTGCTGTTAGAATGTTTAATACCGTCTAATTTGAAGGATGGCCTGTCTCATTAATCTTCCTATTGTGGGGGTTAACCATGTATACTCATCCATATTTGAAAATAATACTAGGAAAGCATATCACTTACCAGGATGAAAATGCCTGATGTCTATTGAGCGCCTTAGCATAGACCTTCTGTAAAGTATCTTTGCCTGCTGATCAAAAAATACAACCCCCTCCAGTAAAGAAGCCAGATAGGCCATCACCCATTACTCCCTCATGGCAGTTCAGGGTACTTCTTTGGAGGGGGTGATGCTATATGCAGCTAAGTTAGATATAACATTATAGGCAGTCGGGTAGTACTGGGCCCTCAAAGAACCCAAGGAGGGAAAACAAGATACCTTGCGAAAGTGGGGGAGACAAACGCCTCCTGCTGTGGGCCAGACTTCAAGACAAAAGATAAAAACCCACACCCTAAGGATATCATAAGGGAATGATACTCTAAGTAGGTATTGATAACTTTGAGGAAGCCAGAAAGTGCCAATTACACAATCTCCCACAGGCAAAGGTCTTGGTGTGTATTCCTATCCACTTGCTATGTACCTCACTTCCCTATTTGATCCTGATTTAATCAATTTTGCCTGAGCAATTACACTCATAATCTTATTGGTTTACCATAGTTCTGTCCCACCTCATGCCCACCTTGTGAGTTCCCGTTTTTCTCCATCTGAGATGTGCCTCACCTTGTGATTTTGCTCTATAAAAATCCCTAAAAAAGCAAAGTTCTCAGCAATCCACTCGGGATCTCTTCTGTCTCTTTCTCAGGCAGAAGCTTTCTTTGTCTCAATATATATATTCTACTTTTTAAAAGACAAAATTCTCAAAAAATATATTTTTAACATTCTTCCCATAAAAAAAGTTGTTGAGGTGATAGATATGTTAGTTAGGTTGGATAAGTCTTTCTATAATGTGTACATAGATCAAAGCATCACATTGTTCCCCAGAAATATACAGAATTACTATTTGTCAATTAAAAATATTGTTCATTTGGATGATCAAATTACAAGCAAGAACAAGTAAATAGATAGTATATTTGGGGAAAACAAGGGGGAAAGGCCAAGTTTTACAAAATCTAAAGCAGCACAAGTACCAAAAAAGACAAGATTATATTGTGATACAGGGTCCTGACAGACACAGAAAAAATCAATATTTACTATGAGAAAGCAATAAACTGTGGAAATCTTGAAACGTATTTCTGTAACACTAAAGACTGAGTCATCTGGCACACTGTAAGAATTAAACAAGTGTGCCCATTTAATGATTTTGTAAATGCACATCTAAGTTTAACTGCCCAGTTCCTTCATCTAAAGACAAATAGAAATCGTGCAAATGTCTATTGAATTAAAGTCACCCAATTCAAAGGCAGCTGAATCCAAGTTTTATATTCATAAAAGCAGAATAACTCTGATTTTTTCAGGTGGGAGAAGTTTAGGAAAAGCACATACTTATTTCCCAAATTGCAGCTTTATCTTTTGATAGAAACTTCACTGGACTCTCATATCTTTACTAGTTTGTAGGTGCTCTTGACTAATGATCAGATAGATAAGTAAATTACACCTGCTTTCCCTGTGCTGGGGATTCAGACAGCTAAACTTCTCTGATCTTAATAATCCATTAGTTTGAACATACTTAGATCAGCACTGTGAAACATCACCAGTAAGTTGGATTCAGCTGGATAACGTTTGACTACATTCAAAGGGAAGAAGTGATTTTTGTAAGTAGACTATTACAAAACAGAAAGATAATCTCATTGAGAATGTGCTAAATGATTGAAAAACATATGTTACCCCACCTTGACCTATAAGACACCCAAGAAAGAAAAGAAAACAGTGTTATCAGAGTGATGTGACCTTAGAAAGTAACTTCTAGAATCTGTGATGCCTACACAGGAAAGAAAGAAAAAAAAAAAAACTAGGAACTTTGTAAATTTGGTCACCTAAGTTTTATCTAGAAATTTTTTAAAAAACAGCAAAAAGTGGTTTTTTTCACTATTACAGATGTGAAAGAAAAGATCTCATCATACAGCTATTCAAGACTACTGCAGGAGAAGAAAGATTCACCTCAACTTCACTAAAACAAAGGCAGGAGGGATTTTAGATTCTAGGGTGAATAAGTGAAGCATCAGTGTAGGGCATTAGCAGGAGGTTAGTCAATGTGATTAGGCCTTTTTCGTTTGCTAATTATACAACTGAAAACTTTGGTTCTTCTCTCACAGAAAGTAGGAGGTTAGGGTACTATCTCCTTTAATCATTACTTTCAAATTCCTGGATCCCAGACCCTGGGGAAAGACATTCCTGGGCTATAAAACTGGCTGAAGGACGAGATATTAAATTTACAAATGAGCAGAGCAAGGGTTTATGATGGAAACTGTTGTAAAATCAAGTATCTAGAGAAAGGGAGTTCAGAGGCTCAGAGGAAAGACGAAGCCAGTCTAAAGTTAAGCAGGTGGAGCGAAATATGAAGACTCATCTTGCCTTAAAAAAGCTCAAGAAATGGAAACAGTAAGAAGAACAATTGGTGAGGTATGGCAAACCCAGAGGACTGCCATACAGGTGCTTTAACCATTTATCCTGAATGCATAAACACAAGCAGTAGAAGTAGAAGAAAACAGCAGAGAGAAGCCATGAATAGCGTAGACTCTCACATAAGCAGAGCAGAGAAGATTAACCTTCCATGAGAAATCTGGGTGACCACCTACTTTGATGTAGAAAATACTGTGCAAGTCGCTCTTAAATGAAAATTCTCCATGTTATAATGCCCTAATTATCAACTTACTTATACCTTGGATTAAAGCTGTAAAAGCTAGTTAAATGTAAGTGTTGACCTTTCCAGCCAGTGAATAAATTTATCAGCTAAATAGGTTTATCAGACTAGCTCTTAGCAGAGTAAAATGCCTTGGACTTAAACTCTCCTCCATTTCTTCTGCTCCATTCCTTTTCTTCAAATGACAGTTATTTATGAACAAATCTATGTCATTCACTATTGCTAACTTTTTTTTAGGGGTAGACTCAGGGCATGAACCTTCAAATCCATTTATCTTAGATGCTGAATTCATATGGTTGGGGTTTAATGGGAAAGAAGCACCACCCTTTGAGAAGCTCAGAGGTTGCCTAGCAATAAAGGGAAAAAGAAATAGCACTGACTTCTAAGCAGAGAAGAGACCTGAAATCAAAGGGAGACACAAATGGACCCCCAAGAAAGACTGCTCAGTTGTTGAGGGCAGACAGGCCTTTCCAAAATGCTGGCCATAGTCACCATGGCCACGGTTAGAAAGGAAAGGACAGCATGCTTTTGCAGTGTACACTTTTAATTTAGGAATAGTGATTTCAAAAATTCTGAAAAGTCACATCAATGATCCCACCATCATAGGCCATGGGGAATACTGCGACTACTTTCCCTTCCTTTTTCATTGTTGTTCTTGGTCTCTTTTAGAACATTAACTCCGTGGCTCACTGTTCTGAAAATTCTTTCTGGTGTCTCCAGCCCCACCTGGCCTCTTGCTTTTTATAACCGCTCTGTATCTCAGTTTCTGTCTCCTAATACCCACCAGACTCTGAAGCCAGTTGTTTTCTTCCTGACCAGTTGTTTCCATGTACAGTTTTTTTTTGCCCCTATTGTTTTTACCCTTATTGTTGTGGCTCTTCGGTGTTCAGAATCCCTCAAAACCACTTCCTGTTTTCTTGCGAACTCACCCAGAACAATCAGCATGGAAATTCAGCAACACTTCCAACCTTGCTTCTTGCTGTGCTGTTGCTGAATCACCCTGAGGTGGCCTAGCTCGAGCTCCACGAAGCGCGCCCACCCAAGGCTACTGCCTGAGAGCGTTCCAAAGCTATATTCTGTGAAGAGTTGTTAAAAAGCTGGGCATTGTTCAGAGAGAAAAGGAAGTTCTTATTCCCAGTTTTGTGTCACATTTTGCCGCCCACCATGTGTACTTGTGCATAAAATCTCTTGGAAAAATATTCCTAACCTTAGCCCAGTCAAGACAGAGTGCTATATTTTTTACAATGTTTGTATTTTTAAATATTTCATTTTTACTAGTTATATTTTAAATGTTTGTTGATAATTTCTGGAGTGTGTTACAGCTCTAGTGAAGAGCCCCACTGAGACATCCCACAAGCAACTCAAAGACTGTATATCCCTAACTGAGTTCTTAGACTTACTGCTGCTCCCTGTTTGTACTTTACATCAGTGAGGGACAGTAAATGCCACTCACTCAGACAGAAATCTGAGTATTATCCTTGATCTCCATCCCATACCCTCTGTGTGTGTGTGTGTGTGTGTGTGTGTGTGTGTGTGTGTGTCCATCTGTCTCTCTGTCTCTCTCCATCTGTCTTTCTTCACCTGTCTGTCTCTCTCCATCTCTCTCTCTGTCTGCCTCTCTCTCTCTGTGTCCATCTGTCTCTCTCTCTCCATCTCTCTGTCTGTCTCTCTCCATCTCTGTCTCTTTCTCCACCTCTCTGTCTGTCTCTCTCTTTCTATCTCTCTCTCTCACACACACACACACACACACACACACGCATGTACGTATATTCAGTCAACAATCGAGCTTGGCAAAGAGCTCAGACACAGTGTTTATAGACTTTATTTTGTTGATGAACTTTCACACAAAATGAGACAGATTCTAAATGACTATATAGAGTTTATAATGGTCTATCAAAATGTAGAAAGTAAAGCATATATAAATTGTATGAAAGTGTTCAGAGTATAGCGAAGCTCGTGTTAAAATTTAAACCTGCTTTGTTTGGTTGGTTGGTAGATGTGTCGGTTTTATGAATAGACAGAGAAGAAATAGGAACATGGAAATAAGGAAATGAGAGAGAGAGAAGAGAAGGAGGAAGAGGAGAAATAGGGAGAGGGAAAAGGTGGGCTAAAGAAAGAGAAAAATTGGGTGTAGAGCTGAAGACCATGAATAAACATCTCTTATCTGCATCAGTTTTTCTGTATCATTATCAACAAACATTCACCATGACAAGAACAGGAGAGGTCTGACTGCATGGTAGGAAAAAAATCAAATTTCTTTGACTAAATGCAGTTCATAATTTTTATTATGAAAATGTCAAATAAACACAGATGGAAAGAAAACAGTTTTTATCTACCCTTAATTATTTATCCTGAGCTCTCACTATGTGTGCATATATCGCTGTGGTATGATGCTTTTAATTCATAGATAAATATTGGAAACAACTCAAATGCCCATCAACTGATGAATGGACAAAAAGATGAGTTTTTTATACAGTGGAGTACTAGTCAGCCACAAAGAATACATTTGCGACTTTTATATAGCTAAATGGATGGACCTTGAGATCACACTCTTAAGTAAAATAAATTGGACAAATAGTGGAACTATCACACTGTCTTTCTGGTGTGAGAAAATGAAAGTGTAAATAAGAACCAAAATGTATAACAGACATTATGAAATAGGAAGAAATTGTTCAAAAGAAAAGGGGAATTAGGGAGGATGAGAGGTAAAAGAAGGAAGAGAAAAGAAAAAAATGAGAAAAGAAGGCTCAAATGGAAACAGAGCTTTTTAAATAAGGAGGAGAAGAGAGTTTGAAGGGAGGGGAGGGGAACAGGGAAAAAAGAGGAATCATGATATATCACATACAGGCACAAATTCCCTAGGGGGAATGTGACCATTATGTATATATAAATGGTACCAATCAGCTTAATGGATAAAGAGTCATGTGTTCATATAAAGTCAGATCCTTTCTAGTTTCTATTTTTGGATTAAGAGTAGGACTTTCTATTTGTTTGATGAGCTTATTTTAATTTTCAGCTTATGCTTCTAGCAGGTTTGATATACTTTAACATTTCTTTTTTTTTTTTTTCCTTTTTCCGTTTTTATTGGTACCAGGAATCGAACTCATGACTGCCTGCTTGCAAGGCAGGCGCTTATGCCACTGAGCTAAATCCCCAGCCCCTAACATTTCGATTTGTCACTGACGTTTCAAGGATCCTTGCCAGTTTCATATCTCTGTAAATATGATGGGCTCCCCTGGGGAATGAATGCTCTAAGATGCCAGAATATCAGTGACAGAAATACCTGAATACACAACCTGCCCTTTCCACATTTATTGATGCTGACTTTGGCAGCCCTAAGAGTCTCAACAACCACACACAAACCTTTAAAAGAAAATAATTGTGTGTTTATTATTTGTGTGAATTCTTCGAAAATAATGATTTAAACTGTGGATAACACACAAAAATTGTGCTGCAGGACACTGTTCTGTTTCTTAGTCCCAGCATCATACCACAGCGATATATGCATACTCATGTTTACAACACTTGCCTCTTCAAAATCAGATTTTTGAATTAACTTCAAGCTTAATAAAAACCTGAAGAATGGGTCTGCCAGCACATGCCCATAATCCCAGCACTCAGAAGGCTGAGGGAGGGTGATTGCTGTGAGTCAAGGCCAGCCTGGGCGAGGCAGTGATTCCAGGCCAGCATGAGCATGAGATTTAATATCAACAAGAATGCAAATGGGGAGAGGGGACTTAGAGGAAGCTGAAAGGAGGTAGTCGGGAAGGAGAAGGAGATTAAGAAAAGGAACTAACTCTATTATGCTTGTATGTACATTCTCCCCAAGGGAACACACACACACACACACACACACACACACACACACACACACACAAAATATATGCAGCATTTATAAATGCTAGGAAGTGACAGAATTAAGGATTGCTGACACAAAAGTTCACTGATTTTCACTAAATTCTAATGTTCCCTGCCACTGGAAATAATCCTACATGGCAGTTCAGTAAGATCCATCTGCTGAGAACATTTAGAAAAAGCCTGTGTTGAGTCAGGGTGGGTCCCACCTCTTGTATCTTTCAAGAACCCAGTAGCAATGTGTTTGTCAAGCAATACGCTCTCATAAGAGTAAGTGTTTAATGATATGCCTCATAAAATTGCAAAGTAATAGGACTAGTGACAACATTTTTAAGTGAATCCACAGAGAACAATCTGAGTTGAGAGAATCCTAAATATTCTCAGGGAGGGACATTCACTGTTTCATCCTGAATTTCATTATGGTAGCATTTTATTGGCCTCCTAATATCATTGCTTCCAGCCCAGTTTACTTGCTCACTAACCTATTGTATTCTGAAGAATTTATGTACCACATTTTACTGCTGTAGACAAAGTTCAATACATGTCAAATACAAAAATACAACCTCACACCTTTATATCGGCTATGAAACATAAATGCGGGCTCTAAGAAAACCAAGTATCTGGAAGCAGAGAAAATTGGAGTAGGTTGTAGACACAGCCGAGAGATTAGCCTAGACTTCCAGGGTAGGGAAAGGCGTAGGAGCTCAGTGTCCAGGTGACAGAGTGGGGAAAAGACCAGCCCACACCTGGCAGAGGTTCTGTGGGCTGAAGATGGGAAGGACCGCTGGGCAGGAAAGAGCGAGAGAGAGAGAGAGAGAGAGAGAGAGAGAGAGAGAGAGAGAGAGAGAGAGCCTGCAGAGGGCGCTGGATTCTGCCGGGACTTTCAGATCTGGCGTTCTAGGCATCAGGAGCCACGCTGGGTTGTTTAGTGGAAGAGCAGAATAAGGAAAGAAGTTCAGGCATAAGGGAAACATGCTCCTTGTGTGCTAGGAAGCCACAACATAAGCATATTAGAGATCAAAAGGTGTCTTCTATTGTGAGGTTGCAAGATAGACATCAGTAATGAGAGTGAACACTTACACAGCACTTACTGCATGCAAACCAGTGCTGTAAGTGCATTCTTCCTTACAACAACCCCATGCAGTCCATACTGCCAACCATCATCCTCCCCACCTTCAGTGAGAGAAATGAGGTTTCTCGAAGCCATTGGCCAAGGTCCCACAGCAAAGATGCTCAACGTTCAGTGTGCAACCACTTAACGGTCATGTTCAAGTGACCAGTAACAGTGCACTTAAAATCTATTTATTTAGGACAGTATGTAATGGTTGAAGTCACAACTTAAGCAGATTGTTATCAGAAGCAACAGATAGGACAGTGTTTAGGTGGGGTTCTCTGAACACCTCAATTTAACCTGAGGAAGAAGGGGTAGAATGTTGCAGACCTTAAAATGATATTTATAGCCTAGAAAAAGTAAAAATAAGTGTATTGATTATATCTGTGGTTGTCTTGTTTATAGACATTACAGATCCCTTCCACACACATGGCACACCATATGTGTACTCTTCTTCCTTACTAGGGGCTCAGGATCTGGACCGCATCCGACTCTCCACCTACAGAACAGCATGCAAGCTGAGATTTGTTCAGAAGAAATGCAACTGTAAGTATGCCAGTTGTTTGGGCTAATTAACCCTCGTGAATCCTATAGTTTATATTTGTTACTAAGTTTATTAACATTGGGTTTTCTTTACAAGTATTATTTACACAACAATAAAAGGAATATAACAGTACACAAATGGTAGAGAGACCAGTTCAAAGTAATTCTGAAGTCTTAATTACTCTTAACTACTGAACTACTGAAATGCGTGAGCCTCAGGATGGACATATAATCCTGACCTTGGAATGGTTTCCATCTGGATAGGTATTTTTCCTTTTTTCTCTACATTTGGTATTATAAATGCAGTGACATCAAAATGCTTTCCAAGGACTTTATAAAATATAAAACAGTAAATTCTCTTCATATTTGTATTTCCTTTATACGAAAATATTTACACACTCCTGGAAAAGTTAAGCTTTTTTCTGAAACCACAAAATTAGCTCATTTTATCAAAGTATCAACTACATTTGCTGCCATCAGACAAGAGGAACAGAGACACTGCTTAAAGGAACAGAAACTTGCTCTGACTTGTTCCAGAATTTTAAGCTGTCTTTAAGCTAGACCCCCCAGTCACCGGAGGGAGCAGTGTTACATCGCCTGCTGGGTCCCCCAGCAGGTGTATCACCATATCCATTTTCTTTTAGGAAAAATTTGCTTCATAATTCGTGTGTATAAACTTACTTTCTTTCTGTTTTGAAAACGGACTTATTAAAGCATTATAACTGTTCTTTATTTCTAATTAGTATTGAGTGAATTTTTAAAAACTGAAACCACAAAGTTTTCCCAGACATGCACACATAGTTGTAAATTGACTGGCTTGGGAATTAGACTCTCAGTGAGTGCAGAGGTCAGACAGCTCCACAGGTTCGCCCCATGGAGTCTTCAGCAGGTGTTTCCCAGAGTCTTGGGAGGGATGGGCAGCCAATTAGGCTGTGGAGATGGACGGTGTGCATGTGTTCTGCAGGGTGATCAGCTGTGGCCTATTCTCTTGCCCCAGTGACCAAACATGGGGCTGCACATTAGGGCTGAAGGATTAGGAAAAAATGGTAGATTAGTCAAACATCAGAAATGCGTTTTGAATCATCATAGGAAGCCAAACCCAACCCAAAAGAGCAGAGAGAAAAACACTACAAATATTGGGAAGAAGCCGTGGCTGTATTTGCAGTCCTGGGCATTGATGGGTAAATAGAAGCCTTATCCAGTGCTGGTGCAGGGGACAAGGAAAATGTTCCCAGGAAAGAAAAGTTCCCCTTCCTTCTTGGAGCCCGCCTCTCATATTAAAAACAAAAGAAAGAATCTCCATGTTTCCAGCCATGAAAGGTGATGGTGGTTCCCTACCTTCTTACCATCTATTAGCATTTCAGTCATGTTCCAAATTGGGGGGAGTGGAGAGAGTGGTCAGTGATGGTTCCATACCTCCTAGAGCTTTGCTAAGCAAAACAGTTTCCTTTGCTTCTTTCATTAGAGCTGGGGACTTCCAAACGCACTAGCAGTGAGAAGGAATACCGAGCAAATAATTAAAAGAGAGAGGGAGGGAGTGTGGGAGGGAAGGAAGGAAAAGAGAAAGGAAAAGGAGAGAGAGGGGGGAGGAGTAGGCTGGCTGGGGAGGAGAATGAAAGGAGAGGCTCATGGTGGTGTGGCCACTTTACAGCCCACCGCAGAGTGCACACACAGTGTCATCCCCACAGGGGTGCTCTAGCCACCCCCAGGCCTTATTCCATTTCTCCTGCTCTCTGGGAAAGGCTCATTCTCACTCCTGTGCATCTCTTCTCCTAATCTTCTTCTTTCCTGGCCTCATCCTTGTCCTGTATTCAGAGTTGTGCCTCAGTCACATTGACTTTCTTGGAAAAGTGTGGAGGGGGAAGAAGGGCTGATGGTCTACTGCAAGTGAAAACAACCTTCCTGGCTGTCCAGTGGCTTCTCTCTGTTTCAATTCATTTGCCTCTTGATTTAGAAAGGCTATAATGAGCTCTTGCCGTGTATTCCTCTGTTAGGAACTTGAGACAGAGCACTGGTAAATCAGATGCAATCCCTACCGTAATGTTGGTTGAAGTCTAATTGGAAAGGTGGACTTCTAAACAGATTTATAAATTACCATAGAAGTGTAATGATTGGAATAGATACATGGTGTTTGCAAAGACAGTACTTTGAGATGGGGACTTCAGAGACTGCTTTCCTGGAGGAACTCTGAACTGAATCTTAAAGAATTAGTGAACATTCAGAGAGGAAAAATCTTATTTACTCTACAATACGCATTAGAAACTTGATTTATTTTAGGAAGATACTGCATTCTATGCAAACTACACAAAGACTTAAAGAAGAAAAAACAAGGGCATTTTGAATGTTATACTTAAAATAAGCTTCTTTTTAAAAAGTGTTCCTTCCTTGATAAAAGTGTTAAATACAATCAGTGCATGTTTGTCAAGTTTTCTTTCCTAACAAGAAATACAACAGTTATGGTGTTCAGAGCTACTTGTAACATGCTATCACAATTGATCTTGGCTTGTCTTAAGCAAAGTTAGAGACTTACTTCTAGAAAGGTAACCAAGACTAATTATTTTGGTAAGATAACATTAGTCAATATTGAGTATACATCCATGTATACAGAAAGTAATTTTAGTCTCTAATAAGACCTAACTCACCATAAATTATGGTACCTTATAATGAAGTTTTCCTATGCAACAGAAAAAATAAAGAAAAAATAGGCATTATATTTGTAATTGTATTTGTAACAAAATTTTCCCTGAGCAAACAGTGCAAGGAGCTTTTATTGGGGAAACTCATCCATATTCATTCAAAAAAGATTCATCACCACAGATAAAAGGGTACATTCCTGAGAGTGCTTAGTTTGATACCATGCTTCTTTATATGTTGCTTGTTCAAGAAATGTTGGACAAGAACACTTTGGGTGGAAAATGTAGTATTTTAATGAGCAAAGTTTACTCTAGGCCACATTTTTTTAAAAAAGGTGGAACAGGAAGGCCTCTTGGTTTTGGTTGGCTCCTTGTGAATTTCTTCCCCTGGCCATATCTGAAACAAAGAGCAACTTGATAGGCAGCATATAGTCATTGGGCAGGACAGCAGCTTTCTGCTGCAGACATGTGTCCCTCAAAGTACCTGCCTGGCAGCTAACGTGTTACTTAGCCCATTTGAGCTAATGTAAAGAAATACTATAAAATGGGTTGGTTATGAAATCAGAAATCTATTTATTATAGATCCGTAGGCTGAGAGGTCCAAGATAAAGTCACCAGCCAGTCTGGGGTCTGTGAGCATCATTTTCCAGTGCTCAGAGAGCATCTTCTCGCTGTGTTCTTCAGGGGAAGGAGCGAGCAGTGCTGCTCTCTGGGGCTTCTTTCAAGGGCATTAATGCCAGCCATGAACACTCAGTCACCTCCCTGAAGTCCCTGCTTCTTGCCACTATCACACTGAAGTTAGATTTCAACGGAAATCTAGAGGGGAGGAAACACAGACCATAATAGAAACTCAGTATAGTACCTATCTCATAGAAATCAATGAAACTTAAAACGAGTCATTTTTAGTAATGACTGCATTTACAGATGAAATTTATTTTGCATGTTTATGAAACTATATTTAAAATCCACAAAATGGGAAAACAAAATGTAACAACTAGCACTTATGAAGTCATCACCTAGTGAAAGAAACACTGTCCTGATTGTCTATGTTTCTAAAAGATTTCTTTTTTATCTCAGTTCAGAGATCATAAATGTTAGTTCATTCCTCATAAGTCCTTCCCCCACAGCCCTTGCCTCTTGGGTTTATGGCTTCTCATATAGAACATTGATTTCATGTTCATTTTCTTGGATGCAGTTCCTGATGGATGTTGAGAAAACATCCTGTGTTGTAAAAGAACTGTAAACAGGGGGCCAGAGAATTGTGGCCCGGGGACTGCCTGAAGCCCCTCGCCTCATTTTGTGTAGCTGGTCAACTAGGAATAGTTTTTAGAGCTGGATATTTGCCATTGATTTAATAATAGAGAACAATAAGATGTAACTTTGATTAAGTAAAAATATTGCCCTCTCAAAAGAAAGAATTCCATTCTTTTTATTGATACTCTAGCATTTTTTAAAAAAAAAATTCAATTCTTCTAAGTTTACATTCATCAATAAAAATGTTTTGAAAGTTCTTTTTTCCTATATGTGTAGTATATAATATATTTTATTATGTCTCTTTGTTCTTCAAAAATGTTTACCAATTCCTGCTCTAAAACAAAACAAAACAAAAAAAAAAAAAAAACTTAAACTCAGGAGCCACTTGGGCTCTCTTGTGGGGACACTAATCTCAATCCCAATCATGAAGTTTTGCAGGAAAATAGCAAGTTTGAAGCCAGCCTGAGCAACTTTATAAGACCTGTCTGAAAATGAAAAATAAAGAGGACTGGTGGGAGAGGAAAGGGGGACGGATGGGGAGATGAGATGGAGGAGGAAAAGGAAGCAGGGGAAATGCTTTTTTTTTTTTTTCAGACAAAAAGAGTCCATTTCTTCCACTTTCCACCCCTAGAAACTATTTTTTCATCACTTCTTCCCTGATCACTGTTCTTTGTACCCTGGTGTATCCCCCCTTTCCATGACATCATTAGCACACTTCCTAATTTAAAAAAAAAAAAAAACTGAGTGGTGGGTGTGGTGGTGCATGCCTGCCACCACAGCATCAGGAGGCAGAGGCAGGAGGGTCACTGCAGTTTGAGGCCACCTGGGCTATCTAGTGAGACCCTGTCTCAACCCTCCCCAAAAAAGACTGAGTACCTCTAAAAATTAGGGAACAGCAAGCTGGCTATTTGATATTCTTGGAGGAATGGTTCAGAATGAAGAATATAAATATTATTTCTAATACTCTATTTCAATTACAACTTTCTTTTTAGTATCCACATTTTTGTTAACTTTTTATAAAAATAAACCTGTAAGCCATGTGTATGTGTGAAAAGGTAACACATCAGCCTTTATTTTAAACAAATAACTACTTGCTTCTAAAGCATTATTTCTTTG